CCTTCCCCGTGGGCCCCGCCCCTCCTCGCCGGCCACGCCCTCGGCCCTCGCCGGCTGGCTCGTGCTCCTCCTAGGCGCCCGGGCCACCCTGCGTTCCCCGCCCCCCACCCCTGTCGCTCCTGTGCGACACGTAGCTGTGGCCAAATTTTTATCTCTGTCCTTCTTATCCTCCTCACCCATCTCCCGGCTGTTTTCCTTATAACAATGACCAGTGTGGGTTTTTTGTTTTTTGTTTTTTTTCCGGGCGGGTTCAAAAGCACTGGTCAGTGTTGAGACTTGAGTCACCCCACTGAATTTTCTCCTTGGGGCCATCGAGATGGCTCAGCGGGAAAAAGCCCTTGCGGCCACGCCTGAGCACTTGAGTTCAATCCCCAGTACTCAGTGGAGGGAGATGAGAACGGACAGGACGACTCCTCCAAGTTGTCCTCTGACCTCCACAAGGGCAATGTGGCACAAGCGCACCCTCACACATCCATACAAGTAAATATAATTTAAAATATATATAAAAAAAAAAACCCCAACTGTCTGCTGGTAGACATTGTTCCCCACACTGGACCCAAGAGGCTGTAGTGGAAACGAAGACGCATCTTGATATGAACCTTATTTAGAAATCACTATTGAACTTGCTTCAATAAGGTGGGTCCAGAAGTCATGGTCACTGACAAATGCAGGTAAACTGGAAATTTGTGTAGGGAGTGAGGATGGTAGTGGTAAAAATTTATTACTGTTTGCAAGGTTCAAAACAAACAACCCCCCCCGCCCCCCTCCCCAGTGCTCTTCCTAGTGGACTTTGAGATTTCCAAGACACCATCCGTTAAAAGAAAGGAAAGATTCCTTGAAAGGCATCCTGTCCTCTTCATTCCACCATTTTCTACTGTTCTTCCCAAACTCAAAACTCCTACTAATACAACTGTGCTAAGCATAAGCTAGGTCCTGCCCTTCGCTTCTTAGAAGACTACCCTCCAGGATCCTAGAATCCTAGGCGAATCAAGGTAGCCTACCTTCACTTACTGACTAAACACAAAAGGAGCATTTTCCAAAGGCAAACTGCAAAGGCAAACTTCGATCTCGCACACCAGAAGGAAAAAAAAAAAAAAAAAAGGCTGCAATTCCACCATCTCTTGCAAAAGCAGAGCAAAGGTGGCTGAAGAATTCAGAGAAAATGCGGAGCATTTGCTTTACCCCTGCAGACAGGCAGCACCTCCGGCTAATGACAGGGTGTGGAGATGGCTGCAGGAACAAACCACAGGTGTCCAGAGATGCAGCTCAAATTTAAAATGCACCAAGGAGAACAAGAAGCTTTAGAAACTATCCACTTTATAACTAAACTTAGGTAAATTAGATGGAAGCAAAACAAATACATTTGAATATTGCTGCAGGAAGAATACATGTTCTAATAGAGCTTTAAGTGATTTCTTTTTTTCTTTTCCGAGACAGGGTTTCTCTGGTGTTTTGGTGCCTGTCCTGGAACTCACAGAGATCCACCTGGCTCTGCCTCCCAAGTGCTGGGATTAAAGGCGTGCGCCACCACCGCCCGGCAAGTGATTTCTTTATAATCTTCTTAAAAACCCCTTTGCAAAACTATGATTCCAGGATGGGATGACTTCCACAAGACACAGAAATCACAGGAAGCAAAAGAACCCAAGTCAGGTCAAGTGACTATAGGCTTCACGTCTTCCAAACTGAACATATCCAAATGGGAAAAGCCAACCTATTTCTAGTCTATTTAAAATATGCAGTAGGAGATTCTACTAAAATATTAAATGCAAGATCCTGCTGTATACACTGCAGCATATACAAAATGACCTAAAGCTGTTGTAGTTTGTGTCTGAAATTATTTTAAATGTCTTTTTCGGGAGTAATGAACAGTTTGTAAAACTCCAAGGGGAATGCAATTGGTGATCAATAAATAAGCTACCCAGTACTTTCAGAAATGATCTTGATCATGGATTCAAGGAGGACACGCACTAGCAAAGGATAGAGGGGGGGCTCATACTTATGATTCGAGCAGCCCCTGAGCATGGATGTAGGGGTGGAGATGCTGGGGTGTGATGGGGGCACTGAGAGATGGGATGGGGGTCCCATCCTTTGTGAGGAAACCTGTGTTTGTGTCCTTACACACAGATATAGTCAAACTGTCTCAGTCGTCGTTCTATTGCTATGAAGAGAAACCATGACCACAGCAACTGGTACAAAGGGGAAAGTATTTAACTAGGGACATGCTTAAAGCCCCAGAGACTTAATCCACTATCAATCATCATGGTAGGGGAGCATGGTGGCAGGCAGGTGACGGTGCTGCACAAGGAGCTAAGAGCTACATCTTGACCCTGTAGCAGGAATCTTAAAAGTTCTTATTGATAAAATCAAACCCGGAGCCAGATATTGGGGTGAACTGGAAGATCAGAGAACAAGCCACAGCTAACCTCACCTGGTCAACTTCTCAGCTGGTCTTGTTTCCTCAGACTGGAAGCCTCTGTGTCCTCATCCCAATGGCTCTCAGCTGAACTGCTGCTCCAAAGCCTGAAGCTTAACCAGCCAAATGCTTCTAGTTTCTGGTCCTCACGCCTTATATACTTTTCTGCTGTCTACCACCACTCCCTAGGATTAAAGGCTCGATTTCTGGGATTAAAGGTGTGAGTCACCATGCCTGGCTGTTTCCAATGTGGCCTTGAACTCACAGAGATCCCAGATGAATTTCTGCCTCTGGAATGCTAGGATTAAAGGCGTGTGTCTTTAATCACTGTCTAACTAGTGGCTTTTCTGTTCTCTGACCC